CAGCGCACGCAACGGAATCTCCCAAACGGAATATCTTTAATCCGTTCAATCAATGTTGTGCCGGTCAGCGACTACGTTGAGAGAGCTCTTTGCGATTATGATAAGCACCTGCGGACTCTCCAACCCCCGGCAATTGTAGTACAAGTATAAAAAGCGCTTTGTCAGAAGACATTGCTCGCCGATACCAAGGGATCATCATCATCATCATCAGCCTCTTAATGTCCCCACTGCTGGGGCACAGGCGTTCCCTAGGGATGGAGTAGGGAGATTGGGCAATGACCCACCACGCGCGCCCAGTGCGGATTGGCGGGTACTAACGACTGCAGATGCAACCGGGACCAACGGCTTAACGTGCCTTCCGAAGCACGGAGGAACTCGAGATAGAAATTTCCGGTCACCCATCCAATGACCGACCACTGCGAAAGTTTCTTAACTACAACGATCGCAGCCAAACGCGCTAACCACCTGCGCCATCGAGCTCCTCACCTTCAGAGGAATATCTTTAGCAGCGTAGTATTATATTATAGCCCTAGAACTTCCTTAATAAATGCACTAACTAACACAAAAAGATTTTTTCAAATCGGACTATTAGGTCCTGAGATATGCGCGTTAAGTAAAAAAAATAGTGCATTCGGTACAACGCGTCCTAAACAACGCAATAAAATTTTCAATATCAGTTAAATAAATTTTCATGGAAGGTTTATATAAAAAATCATTGTACATAATACGAGCCTAAGAACAAAAACCATAGTCTACACTACAGCTCTACACCGAAGCGAAGAGGCCCTTGCTTCGCTTCGGTGCAGATCTGTAGGGCCAATTATAAAGCATGTAAAATGTATACCGTAGAGTTCCTTTCTGCTTATTTCACATATGCGCCACAATTGGATTGTTTGAAGTTGAACAGCAGCGCCACAACGGACATAACGAGAACTAATAATGTACACATTTGACGTAATCTAGATCGAATTTAATTATTCGAATTCGATCTACTTTAAATGTCAAATGTGTACTGTTTTTTTTTTTGTTCTGTGGCTGTTTCCGTTTCACACAGAAATTTCGCCAATATCCCGTAGTGAGAGAGATGTGTACTGATTATTAGTAACATTCGTTGTGGCGCTGCGGTTCAAGTTTCCATACAAATTTGACAATGATATTTCGCACTCGCAAACTATACGAATTTGATATTGGTTCGTGCTAAGGGCACAGATGCTTTACCACGAACCACTTCTTAACCAGCTCGGTTTAAGTGCAGTATCGTATATGCCTTCGTCAAAGAACCTGTACCGAAACGACTCAGTGAGGAAACTCTCACTTGATAATTAAATGCACTCGGTAAATAATCAATAAATTCAACTATTCGAATTCGATAATGTTTCGTGCTGAGGGAACCAGATTCGGTACAGGAATGAAAACGAAGCGAGCAATGAAAACACACCGACCCGATGATGAAGGCGCTTATAGATGGTACCACGTATACAAAGTTTTTAGTTGCCCTAGCAACGCATTGCAAACTGTCATGAATGTAGCCCCGTTGAAGACTTGAAGTTACCCCTTTTGTACTCGTGTTACGTAAGCTTGCACGTAAAGCAGGTGTTTAATTGCCAACAGCCTTGAATTGATAGCGTTCATTTCCTTCTTGCGTAGGTATTGTAAGTTTAAAGGGGTAGGTTTTGTAATCTAATTACGTAAATGGTTAGCGCATTCGGCTTGCGACCGTGAAAGTTAAGCAACTTTTGCAATAGTTGGTTATTGGATGGGTGAACTACTTAATGTATGAAACCGATATATATCTGACGCGTCACGTCACAACACGACCGTAAAGTATATTATTTTGCGGCTTTATTAAAATTATCAAAGAGTAAATTTTTATCAATTTGAAAATTTTCCTTGAATAGTGATTTGCACTGCGTAATATTCATCTTAATTAAGAGATTTAATAAGCGATTATAAAATTATTGACGAATTTAAAAAAATGAGAGATATTTATTAATTTTTTTTGCCCCTTTTTATTTATCCCTTCTGCCGCGGAGTAGTTTTCTTAAATTTGTTCAAGATTTTTTTTATTTTTTATTACGACCCTTCTTAATATAAAACAAATGTTTACGCCAATTACAGAAGACTATACAATTACTCTGAAGGTGAGTCAATTTGTTACTATTGTTGGTGAGTTAATCTTACTCAGAGATCTATGTAGATAATAGGCTATTTGACAGTATGAAAAGTTAAGCACCTGCTTGTAAACATGCTGTCGAAGTGACATACTTTGTACTGGAAGTTTTAATGAGAGCCGTGTGACGTCACATGCCTGTAGATGCCATATTGGCTAGAGAAACGCTTCCACGGCCAAACTGACTACACGGTCAGTTCAGTGTAGATAAAAATTTTGGAATCTTCACGGAAAGTGTTATTTTCTATCTGTCGACAGACATGCCGTCAAGTTACTTGAAAGTAAGTTCGGCGCATTACGGTGGCCACACCCCATCATGCCGCTTGATCAAGTGGTTTGATCGAATAGACTTGATCAAGCCAAAATGGTTCCGTTAAGGCGCATGTCCTTCGCAAATTTCTTCCCACGGACGATCAGTTCGACTTGATCAAACCTATTTGATCAAGCGGCATGATGGTGAGTGGCCACTATTACACTAAACGGCAGGTGGGGTTGGTGGGGTAATTTACCACGTGAAATATAAAAATAATATGTACGCTTGAAAATCACGAAATGCATGATTGATGATGGTGAATTGCCTGCCAAAAGAAATATAATATTACTAGCGGCCCGCCCTCGCTTCGCTTACCGAAGCGTAGAGCTGAAGTGTATACTACAGTTTTTGTTCTCAGGCTTGTATTATACACAATGACATTAATCTATGATTCTTCTTATACCTGCATGCAAAGTCTCAGCCCGATCGGTTTAAAATTGACAAAGTTTCATACAAACTTTCATTTCCTATTTTATTGGGGGTAGAATTGATCAAAATCCTTTCTTAGTGGATGCCTACGTCATAACATCTACCTGCATGCCAAATTTCAGCCCGATTCGTCCAGTGGTTTGGGCTGTGCGTTGATAGATCACTAAGTTAGTCAATCACCTTTGAGTTTATATTATATAGATTTTATGCCTCTAGGGAGCGCATTCTAGACTCAACTATTTTAATGGAGCTTTCGTGAATATTGCAATTAAAGTTTACTCTGAGTGCAACAATGATTCTTTGTCATAATAATATATGTAGTACTAATGTTCTTTTGTCGTGTTATTTGTTTTTCATGGCAAAACTAAAGGTACATATATATTTTAAAATTATTTTATTTTATATTTTATCCTTTTAAAAAATAGCTCCACTGAGCTTTATTTCTAATTTTTTACTTCCCTCATATTGTTTTGTGTTTTAAAATTTACATGAAAAAAAATCTGGTTAAGGTATTATTAAATCTATTAAATTCTTGAAAAGTGAGTACTATAACTTCTCGATTTGAAATAGCTTTCTAAGTTCATACTCGACTCATTTAACGAAATTTATGTATTAAAAAAAAAGTAGATATATAATTTAAATACGGTATTGCCTCGAAATCTGCAGTGATTATTCACAAAACTAATTGTAATTGATGAACCAGACAAGAAAATCGTTTTATTTAAATTAAGAAATCAACGAGTTGTTGGTTTTTAAAGAATTATATAAAAAATACTATTGAACTACTGCACTTAAGAAAATAGTTATTTCAAAATGGATAAGTTTACTAAAAAAAGGTTATATTTGAATATAGCCGAAAAAGCATTTCTTAATATTATCGATTCTTGTTAACTCAATCCTCTTTATAATAAACGAGGTATAAGCTTGAGATGAGTTACGCCGTGTTTTGTTCATATCAATCAAATTCCATTTGTCATTCGATAAACAGATATAAAACATTGAGTAACTTAGCCAAGCTTATTCTTTGTTTATCAATAAAGGAGAAAAGAAAGAAATATAAAAAATATTACATTAAAATTCTACTGTAATCAAATATCTAATAAAACTTCAAAAAGTCATTCAAATTCAATGCATAAATCGCATAAGTTATTCTGATAATTTAACTAAAAAAATCTCTATTCGAACCGTTTTCTACCATCTAAGTTCTACATAACCAATTTACCTAAAACCTAATCTACTTCAGTAATAACAGGATGCATCGTAAGGGTTTATCATGCTTCATTAAATTATATTCTTCGTCATATTAACTAGTAGTTAATTTATGAATAACTTACTCTTAGAATTTAGAAAAGTAAATTTAGCCTTACCAAAAGATATATATAAATGGCAACGCAGAGAATTAAATTTAGCGAAGGTATTTCAGTGTACGTCCCCCAGGTAGGCCCTCTGAATAATTAATTATTATAATGGATCACTTACATACAATTACATGGTAAAAGGTTATATCATGATAGTTCTGAAAGGTTCTAAACGAAGATGCTCTATTCAGTCAAACATAATAAATACCTAGTATGCTAGAGTATAGAAACATAAATTTATAGATACGTTCTAAGAATTGAGTGCATACCTAGAATTTAGTATTTTGTAGATTTTGGTCGTAGCCTATTAGATAATTTATTAGTCAGACATGATTCTCAAACGTTAATTAGTTTCGTTGTTTTGTTATTCTTTTTTAATGAAACCCAGGTAAAAAGAACTCACGGCGAACAACGATGGAAGTTAGTACAGTTCTTGTTGTTGGCAAATGAAATCTTTTTCAAAATAAATGTAAAATCATCCATCAATAGGCAACTGAAATGTTATGTTTTCGTTTAAGCATTGAGAATCAAGCCTGCGCCGACCAAATCTACGCCATACAAAAGGACATAGGAGTACAAAATGGAGAAATGCTGAAGAATCGCTTGACACAATTTGCAAGGACAAATTTTCTCAAGCCCCCTTTGTCTAAGTTCAATTTACAAAAGCGTCCCTTCCCGCATTCATCCGCTTTGTGTGAGGGTCATGCGAGGCAAGTGCGGGCGAGCTCACCGTCGGCATCAGCTGGTCGGTGCTGCGGACCCTTGTCACCTTGTTCTTGTAGATGAGCTTCTTCACTATCCTCTCCACCGGCTGGTTCCACCGCATGAACATCACGTACGCGCAGTACAACGAGAACAGCACCAAAGCCTCCTGCCAGTAGATCTCGCTGTCTTGAAAACAGTATATCAACACTATCAGGCTGATCGAGTAAAATGTACAGTCGCGAAACAGCGGCCACCAGGTTAGAGTCAGAGTGGTGCGCGAGAACAGCGCGCACGCACCGATCACGAACAAGATGTTGAAGACGGCCGAGCCGACGATCGTGCCGATGCCGACGTCGTCGAACGACACGAACACGCCGATGATGGAGGTGAACAACTCCGGCGCGGAGCCGCCCGCCGCCATGAAGGTGGCGCCGGCGACATCGTCGCGGATCGCGAGCCGCTCTATGATCACATCTAACGAGGGCACGAAGAACTCGTCGCAGACTACGGCGAGCGCGACGAACATGTAGCCCATGCCGATCACGTGGAGGATGACGGCGCCCGACCGCCGCTGCTCGTACGAGAACAGGTCCTCGGGGAAGAGCGGCGCGGGTTTGTCCCCCTCGGGTGGCGGCGAGGACGATGGAGATGGCGATGAAGGGGCGAGCGCCTCGGTGGCGTTGGGCTCGCTGGCCCGCGCCGCCGCCAGCAGCGCCAGCAGCAGCGCGCCACCCATGCCGCGCTCCCGGGGGCTCCGAGCACACTGCCGCGTGCCGCGCCCTCCCCGCCCCGCCGCCAGCTAGCATTCTCCCCCCCACCGCCCTCCTACCGCCCGTCGCTCGATAGCGCCGCACTGCGCCGCGCCGCCGCCTCTACCCCCATTCGCCTAACCCGGACGCCGCCTCGTAAAGCCTAGTGTTGAACAAATGGCTGCCGCAGCTGTAGGGCTTAAGCGGACGTCACTTTGTGTTGGGAACACTCGACACGAGATGCCGAGGGCTTGCGTCTGCAATAAACTAATGGTGCATCCTCTCTCGTAGATCAAGTATTACAATTTATAGGCTTTTGATGTCCTAAATATTGAAACAGCCGCATTGTTCTTTATAGAAAATGTACCTAAAATCATTAATTGCAGATCGGTATTAGTAATTGAATAACAGATTTTTGTTGTTGTTGAACTTACAGGTTTCGAATTTGTACACAGATAACCGTCGTAAGATATTTTTCAAAAGATTCTTTTTAACAAGATGTTACTGATTTTTCTGTCGTTTAATACATGTTCAATTATATGTTTATGTTATTTGCGTAACCTACACTGGCCTGCAATATTAAGTATCACACTTTAAAATTTCAATAACTTTGATATACATTCGAAATAAAAACTACTTAAAAAAGAATTTAATTTTGTACTACACTTTTCAAAGAAAGCTGATAAAATTTGCATAAAACATTTTTTAGGTTTATATCTCTAACTTCCATTGTTTAGAAAATATTGTCATTTTAGAAAATATGTGATACTCAGTTTTGCAGGTCAGTGTATTATGTAAAAAATGATCTTCCTATATATAAGAGGAAAAGTGACAAATTTTATTATTTCTCTTTCCAAAATAACGATAATGTTCGATATACGACCTCGGTGCTCGTGGTATGTACGCCGGGTTTTATGGTGTCGCCTACTCGAGAGGTCCCGGGTTCGACTCCCGGTGGGGGCAGATGTTTGTGTGATGATTACGAGCAGTTGTACTCCAGTCAAGGATGTTCTATATAAATATATTTATACCAGGCCACAGAAAGTTTTTATGCTTAAGAAAGACACTGTAAAAGTAAAAATACCACTGTTCGATTCGCTGTTCTGTTCCTCCGCATTTGTTCGAGATCCGATTAGATTTTTCTTGTCTCATTTAAAAATGGATCTGCATCGAGAACATTTTCATGCTATGATTTTTTACGCTTTAAAAACTTGTAACATTTTTTGTAGCTTAAAACCTGATGAACTGCTTTTATGGATGAAGGACCTTCAACAGCAACCATCGTCCGCTGGTGTAGGGAGTTCAAACCTGTCGTCTTACTTTAGGGGATGAACAAAGGAGTGGACGTCCTAAGACGGCTCTCACCGAAGAAAGTGTGCTGAAATGGAATTCAAGAAAACACGAATTCCGTACGATGAGATTCAGCACAAGATTTTGCACGAGCACCTTTGCGGAAGGAGGATAGTTTCCCACTGGGTACCGCACAACCTCACCGAAGCTCAGAAGCAGGCCCGTGTGGATTGGTGCAGTGATATGATACAAAAATTTGATGCAGGCTCGTCACGACGCGTTTACGATATTGTGACAGGTGACGAATCCTGGATTTATCAATACGATCCAAAAACAAAGCGTTAGTCGACAGTTTGGCTGTTTCAAAATGAACCAACGCCTACGAAAGTGTAGCGATCGCGGAGCACAGGGAAAATTTTGATCGCTAGTTTCTTCACTTTGACGGGGTACCTAATTTCAATTTGACTTCGCGACCAAAGCAGCATCAACGCCGAATGGTATAGCACAAAATGCCTGACAGAAGTTTTTTCTGCAATGAGCAACAAGCGACCTAACACCGGGCTCCGCGGGATCCTACTTCATCACGACAACGCACCCAGGCACTTTGCGATTATAATGAAGGACTTCCTGGACTCCACACCAGTCAAAGTCTTGGGACATTCTCCTTACAGTCCTGATTTGGCTCCATGTGACTTCTTTTTATTCCCTAAATTAAAAAAAAAAGCTTAAAGGAATACAGTTTTCATCGCCGGAAGAAGCACTAGCAGTGTTTGAGAAGGCCGTGGAAGAGGTGTCTGCGGAGAACTGGAAAAAATGATTTGAAAATTGGTTCAGATTGAAAGTTCGCTGATGGAGAGTTCTTTGAAAAGATTTAATAAAAATATATTTTTCATAGAAGTTACTTTTTTAGTTTCTCAAAACTTTCTAAGTGTCCCACGTTTATGTATTAGTATGTATTCTATCCGGTACCCGTTATAGTTGCAACGTCAATGAAAGGCGGCAGTTTGCTGTGGACTGATTTCTTTATTCATATAATAGCTACCTACTACAATAATTATTAATCCTTAACTACCCAACACCTTCCCCTCGTAACATGACGTAAAAACTAGGTTTATTTGTATTTCATTTACTTTTTACACAAAGCTCGATTAAAGGCACGAACCGCTCATGCGGATGCATCCGGCGGAAGTGGCGAGGGCGACCAAGGTTCAGGGACTTCAGTTTCATATTCTTCTCTCTGCCCTTCTCCCCCCCGCCCGTCTTCCACTCCTTCCATTCCACCGGAAGCATCCTCAAATTGTTCCTCGTCATTTGGAGTATTTTCTGCTGATGCAGATTTTTCTTGAGAAGATACAATATTCGCTCTTGTTAATGATAATCTAGATTTGTGACTAATTGGGATAATTTGATCGTGGTGTCTACGCCACATCAGCCCATTACCCATATTAACTTTATACGACACAGGTCCTGTTTTTTTTATTATTGTACCCTCCGTCCACTTATGCCCTCTGGCCGAATAGTCACGCGCGAGTACTGTATCTCCAATATCAAACTCCTTAGTTTTACCTCCCGTATTAACCATCTGACTGTTTTGAGCTGAACGAACCACCTCAGCTAAATTTGGACGAAGAGCATCGAGACGATTGCGCTCACGGAGGGATCTTCAGTCAGTTGATTAATATTTATTTGTTTTATTTTTAAGGCTCGCATCCATTCTCTTCCCAACAAAGGGCAGCTACCGTTTTTTATTACATATAATTTTAAATTATTTGCCACTATATTTCCTAAGCGAACATCGACTATAATAAATCCGATAAAATCGATCCGAGAGCCAGAGTAACAGCGTAACAATAAGTCATCACGTTTAACAGACATGTGAGAAAAAGTTTTATTATAAAAATCTTCGCTAATTGCGGAAATGCGACTGCCCGTGTCGACTTCACAGTCAACCTGTTTATCACCAATAACTACTCGTAAAAAGAATGGTTTGTTACCTTTCGAAGCTAACTCGATATTAAAGATATCCTCGTCACTGAAATCCGATTCATACACATAATTTTGCCTACCTCGATCACTTCCGCGAACCTCACTGCACATCACTTTCAAATGGCCCCTACGGCCACACTCATCGCAATTGTAGTTTGAAAAACGACACTTATCCGATCGGTGTGGCTTGCCACATCGCCAACATCGCGGGCCAGCGCTCCTGCCTGCCCCGGCTAGCCCAGACCCGCCGCTCCCTACGGCGGGCCCACGCCTCTGTTGCCTGCTGCCGCCGCTGCCGCCCGGCCTGTTGCCGCCGCTACCGGTGCCGCGCGAGCGCCAACCGCTCGCCTGATGCAGCTCCTCAGCACAGCCCGCGACCGTCCCTGTAGTCGCCACCGCCGTCGCACCGCTCACCTCCGCGTGCTTTTCCGCGGCCTCGAGAGCCAGAGCTAAATCCACCGCCTCTTTATACTTAATATTTTTTTCTGCAAAAATCCTTGACCGCATAGCTTCACTCGCGAGTCCCGATACAAATTGATCACGCAGATTCACTTCAAGCGTAGTTCCAAAATTGCAGGTAGTCGCCAAATGTTTTAATTGTTGCAAATATTCCATCAGGGATTCGCCGGGCTTTTGTCGATGTAAGCGAAATATATGTCTTTCGGCGATCTCTGATCGCTGCGGTTCCAGATGGTCAGAAACTAAAGACACTAATTCGTCGAATTGCTTACTTTCCGGAAGTTCCGGCGAACATAAATCACACATTAACGCGTACGTAGGTTCACCCACTACTGTAATAAGTAACGGCACGTGTAGTTCCACTTTAATTTCATTTAATATAATGTACTGTTGTACGCGTCGCACGTATGCCGGCCATTGTTTAGAATTTAAGTCGTATGGTTCCAATTTTCCAATAGGCATGGTGGTAGTACCTATAGGTAAGACTAACGTAATAAAAATTCAGAAAAAAAGTAATGTTCGCGAACACCCGCTCGTCGCCAGTGCAACGTCAATGAAAGGCGGCAGTTTGCTGTGGACTGATTTCTTTATTCATATAATAGCTACCTACTACAATAATTATTAATCCTTAACTACCCAACAATAGTATCCCATAACACAAGCCTATTTGGGGCTAGGGTAATTGGTGTGAGGGTTGAAAATATTTATTATTACATATTTTTACTAATTTAATATTTCTTTTCTTGAATATTGTATTACTTTAGTGTGCAAGGTTTCTAGAACCACGAGGTAGAGGATGACGTTAGAATAGGCAGTACGCAAGTGTAATCTAGTAGTAATCTAGTAGGTATCTTATGCATCTAATTATGGTTGGCCCTTACCATTAGGTACAGTTTGCGGCACGTAACTCTAGCGCTGAACAAAACGGGGTGGGGATAGCTGCGCATGGGTATGACTGGAGAGCCAATCGGGGCATCGCACATCCACCCGCGCACCTCGTTTCCCCCAAAGACATCTTAATTTTTATTTCTGCGCAATAACGGTCAGCGCTAGAGTTTCGAGTCGCGACTTATATATTTACTATATTTGTATGCCACGCTTTTATTAAAATTTTGTATAAAATATTGGAGAAATTATAATAATATATTAATATTATGATAACATAAATATACTTCTCCACTTTATCTTGTAATTACGAATCCATGTTCAAATGAGTATTTCTTTCTTTCATTTTATATTTCGAAGCACAAAG